TCTCATGCCACCTTTTGGGGTGCTGCCGTAACACAATCCGTATCTCAAGCCCAACCTTCCTAATTAGTCGCCCATTATATACTCCTTGCCCTTGCAGGGTTCACAACAACCCCAGTACCTGCAATCCAGCCGTCTCCTTACCCGGAAGCTTCGTCGGTCCCTCTCGCAGTTCCAGGAAAGTCTTATATTATTAATATGATTATAAATATGCTTAATAGAAAGCATTCAACATACCTATTACTAGCTCCCACCGGGGTGGCAGCCCAAAACATAGAAGGCAAACCTATTTACTCAGAACTATGTATAGTATCTACCCAAGGAGGTTTTCAAACACATGTCTTAACTGACAAAAAACTAAAAACCCATCTACAAAAGGTTGATACTATCATTATCGATGAAATCTCTATGGTTTCTGCCGAATTATTCGATTTTCTTTCTAACCTATTCGCAAACCTCCACGGGAATGCTACCGCTTTCGGTGGTATAAATGTCATAGTCGTTGGTGATCTCGCACAACTCCCCCCTATTACTGGTCTACCTGTTTTTCGAGTAGCTACTTGGCCATTATTTTACCCATTATTTTTAAGAACTTCTCAACATCAAAGTAGTGACTCTCAATTTTTTTCCCTCTTAGAAGAAGTACAAACTGGTAACATATCTGAGAACACCTAGCAAATGCTACAGCAACGTCATTCGCAATTTTTAATTAGACCCGCAATCGACATAATGCTTAACACTACTCACATTGTTGGATTCAGAGAAAATGCGTAACGAATCAATAAAATGGTTTGCGATCTATTACCCACCCTTCACAATAAATTTTTAATATCGCAGGCCATTGATTTTATAAACTCCTCAGAATGGGACCCCTTAGCTTATGACCAAATGTTCAAGTCAAAGACAAATCTACCATCATGTGTCCATTTACAGCCAGGCGCACGTGTCATGTATCTTAATAATTCTTTAATTGTGCAGGAAATATGTAATGGTACTATAGGCATAGTCACTAACATAAATCCCGCAGACCAATTTGTACGAATCGTGTTTTCTGTTAGAGGTTCTATAGTTGACATAAAAATTTATAAAAATACTCACTATTTCGAAATTAATGGAAATAATTGTCACCATACTCAATTCCCTTTACAGAACTGTTTTGCCCTCACTGTTCATAAAACTCAGGGCCTAACATTATCAAGAGTATCTCTTGCACTGGATGAAAATATTTTTTCTCCTGGTCAGGCATATGTAGCTCTCAGCAGATGCCCTAACTGGATCAATATTGAAATATCCCACCTTGTCCTAGAATATCAGAGACTAGAAGAAATCTCTAGAACAAGACCTTATATTTTTTCATAAATTCTTACTACGTATAAAAATAAAGATAACCATTTCCTATATTCATTTATTTATTACTTTACTGTATCATATTCCATATCAAATAAATAAAAATTAATATTTTCCGAAGCTACTTAATCATATTCTTCCGATCAAATTACACGTTACGTGTGAATTATCCCGAAACAAAGGATCAGTTTCCAAACATGGATATACTACAAATCCCAATATTATTTTTTGCACAGTATGCACAAAAAATATTCCTGTATAAAAAGATTTTTTATACAGAGCATTTGTGCCACATAGATACATCCACCTGATCGGCTGACTCAATTTTGAGAGCGTAACGTTTCACCAACAAAATATCAATCGTTTTTACTTTGGAAAAAAAAAAGCGTTCACAATCAGAATAGAGTAGCCCCAAGATCCTCGATTAGAGCCAAAAGGTTTGTTATTTATTACTATTACAAGAATACGAAAAAACAATTAAAAAGATGTAAGTTTAAGTTTTGAAAAAAATAAATTATCGCATTCAAGTTTAAAAATACTTAAAAATCTTGATACTTACAAAATATTACAATTTATTAAGTATATATGTAGTACGTCGAAATAGAATTTTTATAGATTCCAGATCAGCTTGTATTCCGACAAAATTCTATACAGACTCAATTGGCTAGAGAATTAAATTTCACTTAATAAGTAGATTTAAAATTAAAATTTAGCCATTTCAGATTAAAAAAATAATTTTATATTAAAGAAAAAATAAATGAAATTGAACAAATCACTAAATTTTTAAAAGTGACGGAGTTACAAAAATATTGATTTATTTTATAATGCAATTGAAAAGCTTACTAAATTTTTTTCTTTAAGATCTAATCCAAACTACAAGAAGCTTTACAAACACTCAAAAATCACTACAAATGTAGAAGACGAATTTACCGCTACTATATTTTCGCGGAATAGCGCCCATGAACCTTATTTCGAATTTTCACCCGAATTAAGCTTAGTTTAGACCACGTTATTCCGCGAAAATCCAATATTACCTGATAATCGTAATAATTAGTATAACTAGAATAGTATATACTACCGTTGGCCACTGTATACAGTACCCAGAATCTTATTCAGAAACTTCATTTTTAAAATTGAATAGTACCCGTGGATACTGTATAAAGAACCGGGTACTATATTTAACGAAATATTATCGAAAAGCATAGGCACGACTGGTCAAGTGATTGGAAGAATGCCGGCTAGCAAAAGGTGCCAGAAATAAATTCAATTAAATTCAAATAAAGGACTTAAAGTCCGCAGAATACAATATGAGTAATTTGGCTAAGTAATTCGAACTAAAACGATGTTATGCTCCTAGAAAATTAGCAAGTAAGATTGCGCCAGGTATCATCGTAACAGTAGAACGAGCGAGAGGCAGCATCAGCCGGTGGTTTCCCGCCTGCTCGAAACAGGCCGGCTGTTAAATAGGAAAATGGCAGAATCAGGAGACTGTTCCGACCATAAGTGTGGTGGGAGAGGTTGGGTCGAGAAAAAATCTTGTCGCCAGAGACTATTTTGTTGAAGGGGAGAGAATATGTTGGATACGATTCTTCGTCGTTAATTCCTTATATACTAATTAAGTGGCTTTTCTCTTACGTATCTCTGGCAACGTATAATTCATGCAATTTCGCATAATTGATTAATTCTTGATCCCGACCCATGCCCCATGCCTCCTGACCCTTAATTGATCGGGGTTGTGGTTGTAGCACGTGGCGTGTAACCGTGACCAGACCTTTCCCTTTCTTTTCGATCTGTTGACTCTTGTCAACCTGCAATTAAAAGTAGTAGATCATACCCCGAGTCTTATTCAAGAAACAGGATAATCGGTATGGTAAACAATACCCGGGTCTTAATCCAGTGGTCAGCGGTAGATAACTTACTGTTTAAATTAAGTTTAGACGCTTTTGAATATGCACTAAGTAAGTTTAGAATAACTTTGGTTTTAAAATTCGAATGAATTTAAAATTTCACTTCGACATCTATCGAGATTTCGTTCTATAAGTAATAATTAAAGAAATATAAGTGGTATTGCTTAGCTAATATACCTTAAGAGTATTAGTATCTCTAGCAAAAATAGTAATAATTAAAATTAAGATTTCTACGTATTCGAATATAAGTTCACTTGCTTTATTAAGAATCACAGTTTTAATTAATGTTTTTCTATAAATTATATTAAATTTTTATAGCACGTGGGTACTGGAAGATGACCTATTAGCTAGTTACTATTTTAATTTTATGCATAAAATCTAACTGTAATAATTATCATCATTGTATCACATGATTTATGCAGGTTCCCAATGTCCCATGACTGTTGAATTAACACGATTTACTCTGTTAATGTCAAATATTTATTTTTCTTAAACCAAAGAAACTCGTATGGCTTCCAACAAAATAAAGATCGGCCAATACAATGTTTTGCAGACTCTCGGCGTTGGCTCCTTCGGCAAAGTTAAATGTAACAACTTGTCAAATTCCTTCCACGGTTACTTTTCTTAGTTTATTTATTAGAGGAAGCTGTTCTCACTATTACAATTATTTTTACAGTGGCAGTACACACCATAACTGGTCATAAAGTAGCAATGAAATTCATTAACAGAAAAAAAATAGCTCACTTGGATATGGTTGGAAGAGTAAAGCGTGAAATTCAATATTTAAAGTTTCTCCGTCACCCACATATAATCAAATTGTAAGTGCCAAATTGCTTTCACATAATTTACTTGATAATCATGTTCGAACCATTTGTTTTATGCTAATTAGATACGAAGTAATCACCATGCCAACCGACATTATTATGGTGATGGAGTATGCTAGAGGTGAATTGTTCAATCTCATTGTAGAAAAGGGCAAGGTGAATGATGCAATTTAATAATCTGGTATTTCATTTATAACTTGTTACTGATAAGTTGGATTTTTCTTCAGATGTGTGAAGATGAAGCTCGACGGTTTTTCCAACAAATCATTTGTGCTGTAGAATATTGCCATCGTCATAAGATCGTCCATAGAGATTTAAAGCCAGAAAAGTAAATTCGGATTACTTTCACTTTTTAATTTTATTATCTTAATCATGCTCAATCGGGATAATGAAATAGCCTTCTTTTGGATCCATATAATAATGTTAAAATTGCGGATTTCGGGCTGTCGAATATTATGACTGATGGAGATTTCCTAAAAACTAGCTGTGGAAGTCCAAATTATGCTGCACCAGAAGTTATATCTGGGAGGTAATTGTCACTATTATTTATATTAATCAAAAAAATCTTTATTGATAGTCTTAACGAATAAAATTGCTTCATGAAGGTTGTATGCTGGTCCAGAAGTAGACGTATGGAGTTGTGGGGTTATTCTATTTGTCATGCTTTGTGGACGTCTACCTTTTGATGATGAATATATACCAACATTATTCAAAAAAATAAATGGTAGGTACACCATACAAATTTTAATAATCATTGGCTTATACCAAATGTACTAAATTCATTGTCATGACTATTTTATAGGCGGAATATATACCCTTCCATCATTTTTATCAGCTGAAACCAAATATTTATTGAATTCCATGTTGATTGTAGATCCTTTAAAAAGAATCACCATTCAAGAAATAAGGTATAATGCTCGAAAAATTTTTATATAATAATTATGTATAACTCATACCTCATTCACCTCCCATAATTTAGACAGACTTCATGGTTTAATATTGGTTTACCTGATTACTTAAAACCTCTTCCAGACAGTGAAGAAGTATTTTTTGATGAAATTGATGATAGTATTGTTTCTGAAATTCACAAGGTTTGCCTTATTTACATATTTCAATGAGACTTCATGAAATTTACTCTGAAATTATATTTATTAATAATATTTTCAGAAAATGGGATTTAGTAAAAACACTATATATCAGGCGCTACAGGAAATTGAAAATAACCAGATAAAGGTTGCTTATCAACTCGTTGTTGATAACAAACGAATGATAACAGCCGGTATGTCTGATTTTAGTCACAAATCCCATTAGATTCATTGACAATTATTCGAAATAATCATAATAATAATATTTTCATATCCTCCAGGAAGGATATCGGGACAAAAAAATATGCAAAGTTTTTTGGCTGCTTCCCCTTCATGGGATACACTTCAGGTTCGCTTTTAAATTGAGATAAATTATTAATTTTATATTAATTGTATTTTATTGTAAAATAGCTTTCTATGAGGAAAGTAAACGTGGACGAGGATGATGATGAACCATCTGGTATACCTTTTGATGGGGATGAGGAATATAATGAACCGTCCAGTATAGCTTTATTAAGTTCAAGTCTACCAACTGGTGAAGAATTTCTCAAAGGTTTATAAATTTTTTCATAATATGATTACTTTATCAGGCCAATGTATTAATCAATAACAATGACATATAGATTCTCAAATTTCCTCCTTAAATAATCATATTCCAACAACAACCAGACGAACAAAGTCGAGATCGAAATGGCATTTTGGAATTCGTTCGCAAAATCCACCATTGGAAGTAATGTTGGAAATATATCGTGGGCTTAAAAACATCGGAATGGTATATTTGAATACATGTTTATTTAATAACTTTTATATATAAGTTTAGCAAATGTCAAAATTCATAGGAATGGAAAACCATTGATCCTTTCCGTATTAGAAGTCGTTATATTTATCCATCTGGATTACAAGTATGCATAAGTTTACTTATATTAAATATTATGAGTAATTATTTTTGTCTTAAAATATTTACGATTTATTGTAGGTCAAGATTGATTTACAGCTTTACAGGCTTGACACAAATAATTATCTTGTTGACTTCAAAAATGTTGGCTATGAACTACCTTCTGTGCCTGAATCTACATCATCTACTTCTTCTTCTTCTTCATTTGAATCACAAGCAGAATCATTTATTTCATCAAATCAACAAGATAATGCGTCCTCATCAACTATTGAAGGGAGGCAAGGAGAAACACCAATACCATCAAATATATTACAAGTTGATGGAAAAGAAGTTACTTCTATGTACCCGTTTTTTGATGTTTGCACAAAGTTAATAACTGAATTGGCAATATCAACATAAAAAATCAAAAATAATTACGTAATCTATAGGCTTATCTATAGGCTTATTAAAGTAGTTCTTTGTAAAAATTAAATGGTTAGTTTTATTTTATTTTTTATTTTTTGTATTTTATGTTTTATGTAAAATAGCAATTACAGCATGTAATTAAATATCTTTGTAATTTTACAAATGGAATTGATAAATCAATTTGTAAACCTGTGTATTAATAAGTTTGACAAGACAAGAGTGATAACTATAGATGCTGGTGAAATACGGTGAAATGTGGTGAAATAATTTCACCACTATTGGTGAAATTGGTGGTGAATTGGTGAAATTGGTGAAATTAATTTCACCAGCATCTATAGTGATAACTTTAATAATTATCGATATAGAATAATATCAAATATTATTTGTCATGGCTGCTTAGACCGAAAAATTATTTTATTTTTGAAAAATGATTTTGATTAATAATTTGGTTTTGTATACACACTGTATTAAATGTATTGGGGAAGGTCAATAGAAAACAGGCAAATTTTTTTTAAGTAAAATTTTTTAAGATATTTAATTTAAAGTTTAAAATGACTTTGTTTAAGCCAATTTTTTTGTTTTTTAACTTTTTTTATATTAATAATGGTTTTTGGATATATTTAAAAATTTATTTGAATTTTGAATATTTGGAAACTAGTTTAAATTAAGTTTGATTTGTTTATTAATAGATTTTTTTTTATATTATTTAATAATTAAATTATATAACAAAGTTATACAATATATATATATATATAATAATTTGACTATATATTTGTTTAAATTGTTTTAAAAATAGAAAATAACTAGTGATGTTAATCACCTCTAATTTTTTAGGGTCAGGATGCAATTTTAATATGAAATTGAGGTTATATAACATAATAAAAACTTAATATAAAGGCCCAAATTTTGTTACAAGTAAGGTTTTTGGAGGTTTGAGCATTTTTATTTAAAACCTCTAACTTTAATTACTTAGTATGTTTTTGAGATATAGCACACCCTGGTGATTTAATCAGGGGCATTATTTTTAAAAATAAATATAAATTTGATTAATTTTGTCTAATTGTCAAGTTTTGCTTATTTTTTGATATTAAATTAAATCTTAATATAATTTAAAAAAAAAATTAAATAATAAAATACAGTATATACAATACATTATATAAAATTAAATTACTAATAAAATTATTAATTAGAACAAGTTTTTTATATAATTACAATTTTTTATAATTACAGATTATTTTTTTAATACTAGTAATTATATCTTTTGTTTTTACTATTTGGATTTTTTTTGATATAAAGGTGACTTTTTTGTATCAGATATGCATCATCTAGGTTATCTGCAGGTGGGTCAAATATCAGGCTACAATTTTGTTAACCTGTGGGTTTAACCCATGAATTAACTCAAATAAAAGTGACAGATCAATTTGCAGATTAAATCTATAAATTAATCTAGTGTTAAATTAGAAATTGTTATTTGATAGATATACATATGCTACAGTCATGTATACCTTTTTTTTTTTTTTTTAATATTGAGGTGACCACTTAGGCCCCTGACACTTTATTAGTTCAAACGGGTGGGCTGTCCGAAGACAGCTTACATATTACATCA